CTGTAACTAATGTATGATATTAGATGTGTTAGCAATAAATATATTAGCATGGTGTCCAGCCATGGTGCCTTAGGTGCATAATGCAAAAAAGGGAGACAAGCCAGAGACTCCATGAATTCCACCAAGGACTTCATTATTACCAGGCTATTTTATGTAAGAGGTGCTCAGATATTACAATTTCAATAGGCAGCACAAAACCTTAAGGTGAATATATAGATACACTGTGAAGAATAAATATGAATGCCAAGTGCCTCCTAGTCTGGTGAAGTGTGTACATGATATTGTAACTATATACTCTATTGCTCTTAGGAAAGGGTTATGTAAATGTTTTACACTGTGAACTCCAACCTATGTCTCTTGAGTCTTATTAATCAATCAGATTTCTCACTTAATGCATACCATTTTAATATGGCTGTTATGTGCCTTATTTTAGAATATGAATAACACTATGCTGTTTTGGGAATTAACTCAGGACATACCATGTTTTGTACTTATTCATATCATACTGAACTATATACTTTACTAGCTTGATTCAGGTTTCCTCTTATAGTACTTTGGACTATACAGTATAATTTAAATTACATAATTACATAATGGTGATGACAGCTGAAAAGTGTGGCCAACTCAGGCACCTTACAGGAATTTGCATTGCAGAATTCACAAAACTCTCCATAAATCCCAATCTGTTTACATAGTTTTATCACTCTTCTAAAATCCTACAAAAAAATGTTGCAGACACTCATACAGCAATTGCCAAACCCTTGCACTCAAACAGGACTCCATATTATCTATAAGCTATAATAGCTCGTTATTTTTCGTCACACTTCATTTTACTGCTGATGGGATCTCACCGCTATCTCTAATTGGATTCAATTCACATTCTATTGCAATAGATTATGACATCATACTATACTAGTTAGTGGTATTCATAGCAAGGCCATTGTACCATGACAGTAGACAAGCTCTACCGTTCTGCCATTGGATTCTGATCTTAATCCTTCACTTACCAATGGACTTTGAAAAACCATTTGTCAGTAATATTCTAGGAATTTGTTTAAATGAGCAATTAATGATAACTAAGTCAAGGAGGTGAGGGGGATTTTTGCCACTTACTTTATCTACTCATAAATTGTAAAAATTGTGACTGTATATCAGCATATCCAAACTGTATATATTTGATTGTATTCCTCTCCCCACATCCTTTGTACTTTGCCTCTTTTCTCAGGCTCCCTACAGGTGGACCCTTGTATCCATTATATGAAGTAAATGGATTTTTGTGCAGGCTCACGGGTGGTGGAA